AAACGGCCTTGAGTGCGAGCCGCGCCCAGAGCGCCGACCATCACAGCCACGCTCCGCACGGCCGCGTGCTCACGGCTCAGCGTCACGGCTGTGGAGTCAGAGGAGGCTCCACGGGGTTAACACCCGGGTCCGTGACGCATCCGCCTACTTCACAAGGAGGACAACCCTGACATCGGAGGACGGGCTCCAGGCTGCGAGCCCAGGACGTGCGGGGACAGCTGAGCCGCGGCCTCCCCAGGACGGAGCCTCATCCCACGGTGCCGAGGTGACCCCTGTTCTGAAAGGCTCCCAGCCCCAGGGAGGCCGACGTCCTGCTGTGGCTACACTCTTCCCACGCGAGGTCCCTCCTCCACGCCTGCCTCCCTCCTCCCTCCCTGCCTCATCCCTCCTCCCTCCCTCCCTGCCTCATCCCTCCTCCCTCCCTGCCTCTGCCTCCCCTACAGGGACATCTGACAGTCAGCGCCTAACTTCACAGCTGCACCCAGCTGACGGGGAGGGAGCCATGGGCCTCATCTGTGGGCACCATCGCCGCTCAGAACGGCCAGACCCTCAGCAGGACGCTCCAAGCTCGGCCGGAACCCCCGCGGCCATCCTCGCCCATCCTCGCCCCTGCCTCTGCCCACCAGGCAGGGTCCCCTCCCTCCGCACGCAAACCAGCCCGGGCCTGTGTCTCCCGTGGTGGGAAAGCCATCGCCATCCTAAGCAGACAACTCCACGGCCACAGCGCGTGTGGGATCCACGGAAACGACGCGGTGCGCGACGGGCAGCGGAGCCCCAGCCACGGGAAACCCGGACAGACGTTATCTCCACTCGGCCCAGAGGAGCCCTGGACCAGAGCGGCCCACGGACTCTGGCGGGAGAACAAGCAGGCGACCCTGGCCGCGGGCGTCTCCTCCGGCCACCGGCTTGCTCTCCACAGGCAGTGTTTTGGGGTCTCCCCTCCTTGTTATTTGCTCCCCTTCCTTCCAGCAGAATCCACGTCGGCCGGGTCAGCAGAATCAGAGGCAGCAGGACCCAGACACA